CATGTGTATATGGGTGAAGCTTTGCAGATGTTTGGTTCTCGCGAACAAGTCGAGAGTTATTGGCAGGATGATTTACACGATGGAGAGAGCTCGGGCATGATCTCTGTGATTCATTTGGAGGCTGGCATTATTGAATATGTATATGGACGGGTTGACTCTTGCAGGTAATTAGATTAATTGCTATCAGCAGGCTATAGCCACGAATTGTCCTAGTGATATGTTTCTTACCATGCTCGTATATGATTTATATCGTTTAAATATCCATGAATAAAAATAAATTTCACTAAGCGAGGCGTGATAGTTTATACCTGTGGTATATTTTATGATGAATATTACCTTGGGCATGTATTGTATCAGGATGCATTTTAAATCGGCTGAGATGGCAGCTGGGCTTCAGCTTTCTGTCACTGGGGTACTTGGTTTCCGTACTGAACACCAGGTAAACCTACTAAACCTACGGCATGATCAATAACATGTTTCACGACACTTATCTAATTCCTGGATCTGCTTAGGCGGAACCAAAGGCACAGAGGGTACTTCTTACCAACACATGTACATCAAATAATGTGGATGAAAACTGTCCCTTAACGAGTACCGGTATCCAAACATGTGATTCCAACAAAGGTGAAGATGATTGGAATATGAATCAGCATGAAACCTCTGAAGCACCTGCACTTAGAATACCCAAGTTGTTAGAAAACAACCATGACTCTAGAATTAGATCTCCATCTCAAAGCATAGAAAACGTTGGCCATGTTACTCCTAATTTGACAGCAATTCAACAAGCTGTAATTCTGGCATTTTGCCTTTTGGTTGAGAAGAGCTCCCCACGCGATGACTTGCAGTGTAAGTTACTTGAATTTCTACATTCATGCAAATGCATACTTAATAAAGATATAAAAGTCTCTTTTTGAAGCTACCTCTGGTTATGGACTTACGTGATCTTATTTTGTTTTACCTTGATTCAATCTTGTCTGTGAAATTGTATTTCATGTTTCTAAACTATTTCAAATTCGTTTAATCCCCCGTCTTTTGCTTAGATCTATTTAAATTTTTTAAAAAGCCTCTTATTTTCCCGAGAAGGAAAAGGTAAAAAAAAATGTCTCTGAACAAGTTTTCATTTGGTGTTTTGTGACCTGGTTTCAGTATGGGATACGGCACCTTACATTGAAGCAATTGATTCCCAGAACTTCTCTTACTTTACTGTAAGTTGACAAAATTCTACACCGGAGCTTATACTTTAAAAATGTAGTCTTTTCTGTACACCCTATTTGTATTTAAATATGCAACTTCATTTTATATTATTATATTATTACAATAGAGTTGTTATTATATAGTTTTTTTTTTTCAAAATATCAATTTGTATTGTAAGCATTATTTGATTATTTGTATTACGCTATAGATCAGGTGTTTATCGGATCTTTTACGTATTCGATGGGAGTCATCTCGTTGCCGAACTAAGGAGCGTGCCTTACAGATGATGGATAACTTGGTATGTGTTGTTTTGCGTTAGCACGTTGACTTGGGAATTACAAATACATATATGTTTCTAATTGAACTAAAAAACAGAAGTAGTGCAATTTCAGATTTTTTCTTAAGAAAACCCTGTTTTAATAGTAATTTTTCAAATTTAAATATATGAGAATTACAATAAGAAATAAATTTATTTATCTCCTTATAGGTCCATAACTACATCCATTATAAACCATTGTCTTTGGGATGATAAGTTTGATATTTCAGATTAAAACTGAATGTATCCGTAATTACACACGATGAAATTTATTATATTATATGAAATATATTTAAATTTTTTTATGTACAATCAACATACATGTATACATTTAATCTGGCTATAATGAGTGGTTGTATGATTTGTACACTGTGCCTGATAAAATTGTACTATGTTATTTACAGGTTAAACATATTTATGAACCTTCTCCAGCAATAGCTGATAGAATTGCTTTTATTTATGCTGTTTATATGCCAAGTATTCCTGCATTGCAGATGTAAAAACCTTTCCTTTGTAAGTCTTTTATGTATTTTAGCTTCATAATTAATGAGACAATTCTTAAACAATGGTATTGCCTTTTTTCTTTTTCAGGGAATATGGGGAACTTTTGTCAGATTGCGGTTTGAAAGGAGAGGCAGCGCAGAAGTTTGTAGAATTAGAATTATGGTATAAACTAAAAGACTGTTACAGGTATTATAATAAAACCTTAAATGAATAAACCATCACATTCACCTTTCGTTGTCATTGACGTTCACTTGATGTTTGATTTGAAAAACAGTTTCTTGGGGAAGAAAGCAGCCGCCGTTGAACTCATCAGGAAGCGTCTTTCGGAAACACCAAATNTATATATATATATATAAGTGCAGATAAAATTTTATGGTGACCTTTTGTTTTCCTTTAAAATAAGCAAATAAAAAGAATTTTAAAATTTCTCTAACTTCTGTATTAAACTGGAATAAGTGTAAAAAAAATATTTTGTATCGCCCAAAAAGAGAAATATTTTTTTAAGACTCGGTTTTTGATCTATATAAAATAATGTATAAACAAATTTATATTATTAAATTAAACTACAGTTAATATGAGAATCAAATTTTAGGATTTTTATATTTTCAAATTAATAATCAATAACTATTTTTATCAATTCAACTTCTATTAATTTAAAAGTTATTTATAACCGTTTTCAAATGATAAAAAAAAGTAGTAAAGATCAATTTAATTAGGTAAGCCCAATTATTATTACTTTGAAAAAGGCATTTGTATTATTTCTTAATATTTTAAGAATGAATTTATAATAATTTTTAAATAATTAATCTGAAATGTTAAAGTACAAATTTAATTAAAAAAAGTTAACTCCCATGGTTTTAAAAAACATTTTTGACTTTTATAAAATTTAAAATTTGAAAAAAAAAATTATAACAATTTTAAAATTAGATTTAAAATATTTAAAATTCATTTTTATAAAAGGTGATTACATTGTTAGATTTAAAGTTATATCAACTTTTTTTAATTAGAATTGCAATTCAGAACATTTAAGATATACAACATTTCACTTCAGGGAAGTTTTAGTTTGATAAAAAAAACAGTTCACTTTGTCTAAACCAATTTTCAGATGCAAAATAATTTTTGGTTCAGTGTAGTTCTTAGCATACAGTTCATTTTGTCTACCTCTCAATTTTATTATATATTTTTAATTTGGAATGAAAGTGTTGCCAGTGCAGGCCGTTGGAAGGGGTAGAGCTACCGAAATGTCCTCTGGGTTTGGACGGTGATGACGAAGGACGGGACAATTGGGCTCGGAATCAGCTTATGTCTTCTGGTTCTGACTTGGTCGGAAAGTTCTCCAATCTTCAGGTACATCTACGTCGTACATTCAATTCGAATCAATTAGGCTATGTTTAATAGAAGTTCTTACTTAGTGTTGTTGTGTTTGTAGTATATAGTTTTTGCGAAGATGTTGCTTATGCGGGTGAAGGATTTAGGTAGTGAGATGAAAAGCCTTCCATGGTGGCTTGCGCGGGTTTTGCTTGTTCAACAGAGGATTTTGGATGAGCGGTGTTCTTCCTTGTCTGATCTCTTGCATGTGTATATGGGTGAAGCTTTGCAGATGTTTGGTTCTCGCGAACAAGTCGAGAGTTATTGGCAGGATGATTTACACGATGGAGAGAGCTCGGGCATGATCTCTGTGATTCATTTGGAGGCTGGCATTATTGAATATGTATATGGACGGGTTGACTCTTGCAGGTAATTAGATTAATTGCTATCAGCAGGCTAAAGCCACGAATTGTCCTAGTGATATGTTTCTTACCATGCGCGTATATGATTTATATCGTTAAAATATCCAGGAATAAAAAGAAATTTCACCAAGCGAGGCGTGATAGTTTATACCTGTGGTATATTTTATGATGAATATTACCTTGGGCATGTATTGTATCAGGATGCATTTTAAATCGGCTGAGATGGCAGCTGGGCTTCAGCTTTCCGTCACTGGGGTACTTGGTTTCCGTACTGAACACCAGGTAAACCTACTAAACCTACGGCATGATCAATAACATGTTTCACGACACTTATCTAATTCCTGGATCTGCTTAGGCGGAACCAAAGGCACAGAGGGTACTTCTTACCAACACATGTACATCAAATAATGTGGATGAAAACTGTCCCTTAACGAGTACCGGTATCCAAACATGTGATTCCAACAAAGGTGAAGATGATTGGAATATGAATCAGCATGAAACCTCTGAAGCACCTGCACTTAGAATACCCAAGTTGTTAGAAAACAACCATGACTCTAGAATTAGATCTCCATCTCAAAGCATAGAAAACGTTGGCCATGTTACTCCTAATTTGACAGCAATTCAACAAGCTGTAATTCTGGCATTTTGCCTTTTGGTTGAGAAGAGCTCCCCACGCGATGACTTGCAGTGTAAGTTACTTGAATTTCTACATTCATGCAAATGCATACTTAATAAAGATATAAAAGTCTCTTTTTGAAGCTACCTCTGGTTATGGACTTACGTGATCTTATTTTGTTTTACCTTGATTCAATCTTGTCTGTGAAATTGTATTTCATGTTTCTAAACTATTTCAAGTTCGTTTAATCCCCCGTCTTTTGCTTAGATCTATTTAAATTTTTTAAAAAGCCTCTTATTTTCCCGAGAAGGAAAAGGTAAAAAAAAATGTCTCTGAACAAGTTTTCATTTGGTGTTTTGTGACCTGGTTTCAGTATGGGATACGGCACCTTACATTGAAGCAATTGATTCCCAGAACTTCTCTTACTTTACTGTAAGTTGACAAAATTCTACACCGGAGCTTATACTTTAAAAATGTAGTCTTTTCTGTACACCCTATTTGTATTTAAATATGCAACTTCATTTTATATTATTATATTATTACAATAGAGTTGTTATTATATAGTTTTTTTTTTTCAAAATATCAATTTGTATTGTAAGCATTATTTGATTATTTGTATTACGCTATAGATCAGGTGTTTATCGGATCTTTTACGTATTCGATGGGAGTCATCTCGTTGCCGAACTAAGGAGCGTGCCTTACAGATGATGGATAACTTGGTATGTGTTGTTTTGCGTTAGCACGTTGACTTGGGAATTACAAATACATATATGTTTCTAATTGAACTAAAAAACAGAAGTAGTGCAATTTCAGATTTTTTCTTAAGAAAACCCTGTTTTAATAGTAATTTTTCAAATTTAAATATATGAGAATTACAATAAGAAATAAATTTATTTATCTCCTTATAGGTCCATAACTACATCCATTATAAACCATTGTCTTTGGGATGATAAGTTTGATATTTCAGATTAAAACTGAATGTATCCGTAATTACACACGATGAAATTTATTATATTATATGAAATATATTTAAATTTTTTTATGTACAATCAACATACATGTATACATTTAATCTGGCTATAATGAGTGGTTGTATGATTTGTACACTGTGCCTGATAAAATTGTACTATGTTATTTACAGGTTAAACATATTTATGAACCTTCTCCAGCAATAGCTGATAGAATTGCTTTTATTTATGCTGTTTATATGCCAAGTATTCCTGCATTGCAGATGTAAAAACCTTTCCTTTGTAAGTCTTTTATGTATTTTAGCTTCATAATTAATGAGACAATTCTTAAACAATGGTATTGCCTTTTTTCTTTTTCAGGGAATATGGGGAACTTTTGTCAGATTGCGGTTTGAAAGGAGAGGCAGCGCAGAAGTTTGTAGAATTAGAATTATGGTATAAACTAAAAGACTGTTACAGGTATTATAATAAAACCTTAAATGAATAAACCATCACATTCACCTTTCGTTGTCATTGACGTTCACTTGATGTTTGATTTGAAAAACAGTTTCTTGGGGAAGAAAGCAGCCGCCGTTGAACTCATCAGGAAGCGTCTTTCGGAAACACCAAATGACCCCATATTATGGTACGTTACATGGATTGCTTATTTTTCCATTCTAATAATTTCGTGATTAATAATTAAAATAGTTTATAAAAATTATAATTAGTCTCTCAATTAATAATTAAAATAATTTTTATTATACATTGTTTTTAATCATTAATATTAATTATCAAAATTTTTGTTATAAAGTAATTGATTTTTAATTAAAAAGTTAGTTTCTAAATTAATATCTAAATATATCTTTTTTTCACTAATAAATTGATAAAGACTTTTTTTTTCTTTTATATAAGTAATGAAGTTAATAAAATACTCGAATATTAAGCATTCCAGTCAAAGATGACCACCTATCATTTTTGTGATAGGCTCTCCGTTTTGTTAAGCAAGAAGCTTTTCACCGAGGACAACTGTAGTCATATTTTTATTTTATTTTTCTATCTACTCAGTTATTATCCAAGATCGAACCGTGATGGATGACATGCTAACATAAAGTATATCTAATAAATTATGAAATAGGAATATATAACATTATTTTATATATTCTTTTTAACTCAGTGGGTAAAAATTTTCCAGGTGTTCCCTGGGTGACCTTACAGATAATGATGCATGCTTTGAGAAAGCTCTGGAAGTTTCAAACAATAGGTCTTCTAGAGCAAAGGTGTGTCTGTGCATGTATTCGTGTTTGTACAGGTGTTCTTTTGCCTTCCATATATCTGCTTTTATAATATTACAGAAGTTGTTTTTCTCTTACTGACAGCGTTCTATGGCTCAAAGTGCATACAAAAGAGGAGACTACAACAAATCTATATTGTTGTGGTGTGTATATAACTTTCTATCATCATTGCCTTTATCGTTAAGCATGCATGACATGTGTTATTGTTATCGTTAATACAATTTTTGTTGACCAAACTTAGGGAGTCTGCACTTGCAGTGAACTCAATGGACCCAGACGATTGGTTTAAACTTGGAACTGCTGCAGTGAAGGTTATTAACATTTTACTTTCTCGGCGTTAGATTTCATTACAGTGAACAATTATTTTACTAGAAAAAGGTACAACTTCATGGAGGGTAGATGAGTCCCTACATTGCTATTGTTGAATGGAAACGATATATAAATTTTAGGCCAGCGTTGATGAACTGAATAGGGTAGATGAGTGCGTTTTTAATGTATAAAGTTCAAAGTTTCAGATAGTTTCTTTCTGGAAAAGCTACTTCTTTAATTATGCACATATTATCACCTGTTTTTATAATAACCATGCCCGTGTAGACTTGTCCCTCTTATTTTTCTTTCACTATCTCATCATTTAGTATGTGAAACTGACTGCCAAGATTTTACAGGCTCAAGATACAGGAAAGGCTCTTGATGCGTTTACTCGCGTAATTCAACTTGATCCTGAAAATGAGAAAGCTTGGACTTACTTTGCTAGCTTGTAAGGAGTTCTTTCTTTCTTGTAGTATTCAAATATAGTAAAGATCTTAGTTTGTTTCAGTGCATAAGCTCTCTTTTCTTCGAAACCTCTCACGTTTAATTTTGGTTCTAGCTTTTACTTATATTTTACCTGACATGCAGGCACGCGATGAAAAGAAAGGGCAAGGAGGCCTTAATCGCATCTAAAGAAGCCTTGAAATTCAAGTTTCGTATACATCCCTTTCATTAAATTTCCTTTTCATATGCTGAAAGTCTCAAATACATACAATTTTTATTGCTTCATAATAATTTCAAGAAACCTTGTTGAAACTCAATTTTTATGTTTATCCCTGTTATTAAACTTCCTTTGCGTCATTAATATGAGCATATGCTTGCATACACACAACATTTGTACTGGTTCTTAACCATTCCATAGTTAACAGTCTTTGCATAGTAGTAACATAACGATTCTTGGTAACAGACGGAACAGCTGGCAATTATGGGAGAACTATAGCCATATTGCTCTCGAAATTGGCAATATCAGTCAGGTATGCTGTTTTTGGTTTATCCTCCTTTGATCAAACATGTTTTTTTGCAGTTTTAGTCTTTTTAAATTTACTGAACCTTTTTTACTGGTTGACCCTTCTATTCATTTTTTTAGCTTATTAAAAATATGTTTATATTCATAAGCCACTTTCAGAGGCTTTGCTATACGTTTTTAATTTTCAAAGTGTATATTATAAATGGACAGTAAATATATTTCAAGTGTAATAAATAAAAACTGTAGGAAAATTATAATTTCTTTTGGTTCTTCCTTGATCATCCATCCTGTTTGATAAATTCTTTTAGGCTCTGAAAGGTGTACAGATGGTTTTGGACATCACCAATTATAAGAGAGTAGATAGTGAATTATTGGAAAGAATCACAGGGGAGGTGGAACAGTTATGCATTGTCGATTCTGGAGCAGAATATGAAATGGAAGTACGTGGAGCATCTGTTGCCGGAAGATCACGTGAAACTGAAAAATTATTTGTTTTACTTGGCAAAGTCTTACAACAGGTATTACTAAATTCTATTAATATTCTTTAACTCTGCATGATGAAGTGGTTGAACAATCCCCAATTCCACTCTTCAACCTGAAGTAGAGTGCAAACAATGTTGTTTGCTCTGCAAGTTAAATAAAAGTTTAATATTTTACGCTCTGCTACAGATAGTTAAACATGGGAGTGGATTTGGATCTGATATCTGGGGCTTATATGCCAAATGGCACAGAATTAATGGAGATCTCATGATGAGCTCTGAAGCCCTCTTAAAGCAAGTTAGGTCACTCCAGGTATGTTCAACGATAAGGTCCATAAAATCTCATACAGTTGTTGTTTGTCCTAATGATAGTTTTCATAATTAACCTATTGATATGATTTTTATTTTACTATTTGTATCGTTTCAGGGAAGTGATACTTGGAAGGACCGAGATCGGTTCAAAAAATTTGCAAAATCATTTTTGGATCTTTGCCAGGTATACGTGGACATGTTTTCATCTGCTTCTGGTAGTATTAAACAACTGTCTACAGCTGAGCTGCACTTGAAGAATGTCATCAGACAGGCAAGATAATTTAGTACAATTTTTCATGATGTTGGAGGGTTGAAAACATAATCTCGATTATTCTGTTANTGAATAAACCATCACATTCACCTTTCGTTGTCATTGACGTTCACTTGATGTTTGATTTGAAAAACAGTTTCTTGGGGAAGAAAGCAGCCGCCGTTGAACTCATCAGGAAGCGTCTTTCGGAAACACCAAATGACCCCATATTATGGTACGTTACATGGATTGCTTATTTTTCCATTCTAATAATTTCGTGATTAATAATTAAAATAGTTTATAAAAATTATAATTAGTCTCTCAATTAATAATTAAAATAATTTTTATTATACATTGTTTTTAATCATTAATATTAATTATCAAAATTTTTGTTATAAAGTAATTGATTTTTAATTAAAAAGTTAGTTTCTAAATTAATATCTAAATATATCTTTTTTTCACTAATAAATTGATAAAGACTTTTTTTTTCTTTTATATAAGTAATGAAGTTAATAAAATACTCGAATATTAAGCATTCCAGTCAAAGATGACCACCTATCATTTTTGTGATAGGCTCTCCGTTTTGTTAAGCAAGAATCTTTTCACCGAGGACAACTGTAGTCATATTTTTATTTTATTTTTCTATCTACTCAGTTATTATCCAAGATCGAACCGTGATGGATGACATGCTAACATAAAGTATATCTGATAAATTATGAAACAGGAAGACTATATAACATTATTTTATATATTCTTTTTAACTCAGTTGGTAAAAATTTTCCAGGTGTTCCCTGGGTGACCTTACAGATAATGATGCATGCTTTGAGAAAGCTCTGGAAGTTTCAAACAATAGGTCTTCTAGAGCAAAGGTGTGTCTGTGCATGTATTCGTGTTTGTACAGGTGTTCTTTTGCCTTCCATATATCTGCTTTTATAATATTACAGAAGTTGTTTTTCTCTTACTGACAGCGTTCTATGGCTCAAAGTGCATACAAAAGAGGAGACTACAACAAATCTATATTGTTGTGGTGTGTATATAACTTTCTATCATCATTGCCTTTATCGTTAAGCATGCATGACATGTGTTATTGTTATCGTTAATACAATTTTTGTTGACCAAACTTAGGGAGTCTGCACTTGCAGTGAACTCAATGGACCCAGACGATTGGTTTAAACTTGGAACTGCTGCAGTGAAGGTTATTAACATTTTACTTTCTCGGCGTTAGATTTCATTACAGTGAACNAGGGAAGTTTTAGTTTGATAAAAAAAACAGTTCACTTTGTCTAAACCAATTTTCAGATGCAAAATAATTTTTGGTTCAGTGTAGTTCTTAGCATACAGTTCATTTTGTCTACCTCTCAATTTTATTATATATTTTTAATTTGGAATGAAAGTGTTGCCAGTGCAGGCCGTTGGAAGGGGTAGAGCTACCGAAATGTCCTCTGGGTTTGGACGGTGATGACGAAGGACGGGACAATTGGGCTCGGAATCAGCTTATGTCTTCTGGTTCTGACTTGGTCGGAAAGTTCTCCAATCTTCAGGTACATCTACGTCGTACATTCAATTCGAATCAATTAGGCTATGTTTAATAGAAGTTCTTACTTAGTGTTGTTGTGTTTGTAGTATATAGTTTTTGCGAAGATGTTGCTTATGCGGGTGAAGGATTTAGGTAGTGAGATGAAAAGCCTTCCATGGTGGCTTGCGCGGGTTTTGCTTGTTCAACAGAGGATTTTGGATGAGCGGTGTTCTTCCTTGTCTGATCTCTTGCATGTGTATATGGGTGAAGCTTTGCAGATGTTTGGTTCTCGCGAACAAGTCGAGAGTTATTGGCAGGATGATTTACACGATGGAGAGAGCTCGGGCATGATCTCTGTGATTCATTTGGAGGCTGGCATTATTGAATATGTATATGGACGGGTTGACTCTTGCAGGTAATTAGATTAATTGCTATCAGCAGGCTAAAGCCACGAATTGTCCTAGTGATATGTTTCTTACCATGCGCGTATATGATTTATATCGTTAAAATATCCAGGAATAAAAAGAAATTTCACCAAGCGAGGCGTGATAGTTTATACCTGTGGTATATTTTATGATGAATATTACCTTGGGCATGTATTGTATCAGGATGCATTTTAAATCGGCTGAGATGGCAGCTGGGCTTCAGCTTTCCGTCACTGGGGTACTTGGTTTCCGTACTGAACACCAGGTAAACCTACTAAACCTACGGCATGATCAATAACATGTTTCACGACACTTATCTAATTCCTGGATCTGCTTAGGCGGAACCAAAGGCACAGAGGGTACTTCTTACCAACACATGTACATCAAATAATGTGGATGAAAACTGTCCCTTAACGAGTACCGGTATCCAAACATGTGATTCCAACAAAGGTGAAGATGATTGGAATATGAATCAGCATGAAACCTCTGAAGCACCTGCACTTAGAATACCCAAGTTGTTAGAAAACAACCATGACTCTAGAATTAGATCTCCATCTCAAAGCATAGAAAACGTTGGCCATGTTACTCCTAATTTGACAGCAATTCAACAAGCTGTAATTCTGGCATTTTGCCTTTTGGTTGAGAAGAGCTCCCCACGCGATGACTTGCAGTGTAAGTTACTTGAATTTCTACATTCATGCAAATGCATACTTAATAAAGATATAAAAGTCTCTTTTTGAAGCTACCTCTGGTTATGGACTTACGTGATCTTATTTTGTTTTACCTTGATTCAATCTTGTCTGTGAAATTGTATTTCATGTTTCTAAACTATTTCAAGTTCGTTTAATCCCCCGTCTTTTGCTTAGATCTATTTAAATTTTTTAAAAAGCCTCTTATTTTCCCGAGAAGGAAAAGGTAAAAAAAAATGTCTCTGAACAAGTTTTCATTTGGTGTTTTGTGACCTGGTTTCAGTATGGGATACGGCACCTTACATTGAAGCAATTGATTCCCAGAACTTCTCTTACTTTACTGTAAGTTGACAAAATTCTACACCGGAGCTTATACTTTAAAAATGTAGTCTTTTCTGTACACCCTATTTGTATTTAAATATGCAACTTCATTTTATATTATTATATTATTACAATAGAGTTGTTATTATATAGTTTTTTTTTTTCAAAATATCAATTTGTATTGTAAGCATTATTTGATTATTTGTATTACGCTATAGATCAGGTGTTTATCGGATCTTTTACGTATTCGATGGGAGTCATCTCGTTGCCGAACTAAGGAGCGTGCCTTACAGATGATGGATAACTTGGTATGTGTTGTTTTGCGTTAGCACGTTGACTTGGGAATTACAAATACATATATGTTTCTAATTGAACTAAAAAACAGAAGTAGTGCAATTTCAGATTTTTTCTTAAGAAAACCCTGTTTTAATAGTAATTTTTCAAATTTAAATATATGAGAATTACAATAAGAAATAAATTTATTTATCTCCTTATAGGTCCATAACTACATCCATTATAAACCATTGTCTTTGGGATGATAAGTTTGATATTTCAGATTAAAACTGAATGTATCCGTAATTACACACGATGAAATTTATTATATTATATGAAATATATTTAAATTTTTTTATGTACAATCAACATACATGTATACATTTAATCTGGCTATAATGAGTGGTTGTATGATTTGTACACTGTGCCTGATAAAATTGTACTATGTTATTTACAGGTTAAACATATTTATGAACCTTCTCCAGCAATAGCTGATAGAATTGCTTTTATTTATGCTGTTTATATGCCAAGTATTCCTGCATTGCAGATGTAAAAACCTTTCCTTTGTAAGTCTTTTATGTATTTTAGCTTCATAATTAATGAGACAATTCTTAAACAATGGTATTGCCTTTTTTCTTTTTCAGGGAATATGGGGAACTTTTGTCAGATTGCGGTTTGAAAGGAGAGGCAGCGCAGAAGTTTGTAGAATTAGAATTATGGTATAAACTAAAAGACTGTTACAGGTATTATAATAAAACCTTAAATGAATAAACCATCACATTCACCTTTCGTTGTCATTGACGTTCACTTGATGTTTGATTTGAAAAACAGTTTCTTGGGGAAGAAAGCAGCCGCCGTTGAACTCATCAGGAAGCGTCTTTCGGAAACACCAAATGACCCCATATTATGGTACGTTACATGGATTGCTTATTTTTCCATTCTAATAATTTCGTGATTAATAATTAAAATAGTTTATAAAAATTATAATTAGTCTCTCAATTAATAATTAAAATAATTTTTATTATACATTGTTTTTAATCATTAATATTAATTATCAAAATTTTTGTTATAAAGTAATTGATTTTTAATTAAAAAGTTAGTTTCTAAATTAATATCTAAATATATCTTTTTTTCACTAATAAATTGATAAAGACTTTTTTTTTCTTTTATATAAGTAATGAAGTTAATAAAATACTCGAATATTAAGCATTCCAGTCAAAGATGACCACCTATCATTTTTGTGATAGGCTCTCCGTTTTGTTAAGCAAGAAGCTTTTCACCGAGGACAACTGTAGTCATATTTTTATTTTATTTTTCTATCTACTCAGTTATTATCCAAGATCGAACCGTGATGGATGACATGCTAACATAAAGTATATCTAATAAATTATGAAATAGGAATATATAACATTATTTTATATATTCTTTTTAACTCAGTGGGTAAAAATTTTCCAGGTGTTCCCTGGGTGACCTTACAGATAATGATGCATGCTTTGAGAAAGCTCTGGAAGTTTCAAACAATAGGTCTTCTAGAGCAAAGGTGTGTCTGTGCATGTATTCGTGTTTGTACAGGTGTTCTTTTGCCTTCCATATATCTGCTTTTATAATATTACAGAAGTTGTTTTTCTCTTACTGACAGCGTTCTATGGCTCAAAGTGCATACAAAAGAGGAGACTACAACAAATCTATATTGTTGTGGTGTGTATATAACTTTCTATCATCATTGCCTTTATCGTTAAGCATGCATGACATGTGTTATTGTTATCGTTAATACAATTTTTGTTGACCAAACTTAGGGAGTCTGCA